ACAAGGCACATACTAGGGATACAAGATGGTGCTCGGCCACTCCACTTCCCAGTCTTTAGACAGGTCCTCCTGCTGCTCCCTGTGCGTTTGTAAAATTGAGAGGCACACTCATACTGTAGCTGTGTGTGAAGATGGTGGTGGCCTTTAGGAAGTTCTCCAGGTGGAAGGGCCGGCTTCTTGGTCGGGTAGACATCACTCTTCTCCTTTGGTAATGAACTTGAGTATAACTGATGTATTGGGGTCTCCCTAATTACAAACAAATCACAGCTTTCATGAGAAACCTTCAACCAAAAAGAGGAAAAGTCATATTGTCATAGCTGCAAATTTGCCTTCAGAGACCCACCAAACCTTCTATGATCAAACATGGCATCAGGGACCTCCAACATAACTTAGTAAGTGAGCCACTTCAGAGTTTATGGAAATATTTTTTCTGTATAGGTTTATACCAGACACATAGGACATGAGTTGCCAACTGTCCAATATTTGCTGGGACAATCCCCTGTCGCAATGATGCTGTGTTCCAGGATCACAGTGTCACCCGTATTTGGGTTAGTGAACATAAGCAGTAACTAAAATCGAATGGAATTAACTTAAGGTATTGTGACCCCGAGTGGGCAGTTCCCACATATTTAGAGGAGAGACCATACCAGAAACTGGGCATGGGATGGGTGTGACCGCCTGAAAAGTGGACATGTCAAGCGTGGGCCAATGGTGGGGGTAAAAGTGCCCCAGGGACAGGGGTTATTATGATGGTAAGCATAAAATAAATATTTTACATGCCCTGCAGGCAGAACATCAGGTTTAAATTAATGCACCCCAGCTGCACATGCTAACCTTTCCTTTACTCACCTGCTGCTCTGTTCAGCTGCTATGAAAGAAGAAAATACTTCTGCATATAGAGGACCATGTGACTTAACCTGGGACACTCTGGCCAGCGTCGTGCCCGCATACACATCTCCCCGCCCGCTCTGGTTGCTAAGAGCCGGGTGAGGAAATGTGTATGGCCCTTACACATCTCCCCGTCCAGGTCTTAGCAAACTGGGATGCCAGGAGCTGGGTTTGACGCCAAGGGCGCAATTTGTAGTAGTTTCAGAGCGTCCCAGGTTGCTATGAGCTGGGCAGGAAGATGTGTAAGGGAAATACACATTTCCCCGCCCGGCTGACAGAACCAGAGCAGATGGGGAGATTGTGTATGCAGGCGGGATGCGTGCCAGAGCATCCCAGGTTGCTAAGAGCTGGGCGGGGAGATGGGTATGGACCTCAGACATCTCTTAGCAACCTGGGATGCTCTGGCCAGCGTGCCGCCCAGTTCCTGGCAACCAGTGACATCACTGGTTGCCAGGAGCTGGGTTTGACGCCATGGGTGCAATTTGTTGTAAATGGACCCCTGGTTTCAGAGCGACCCAGATTGCTAAGGGCCAGGTAGGGAGATGTGTAATGACTATACACATCTCCCCGCTCAGCTCTTGGCCTGTTATTGCACTTATCGAACACATATAACAAAACATTTTCAATGGTGGATTTAACAGACCAAATATAGACGGTTAATTATTAGGCTTAACATCCCTTTTAATGATTTTGCTGTTTTTTTTCATTATATGACAAAAGAAACACTGTGCCCATTGGGTCATATATTATTATTTTCTATTTTCTCAGTTCACTTACAGACCCGCGATGTAAAATTTGTTTGTTAGCAGTTATGTGTGTAATCTGCCTGTGACTTATAACGATCCCTGGCAGCTTTACGCAGCATCATATGGTAAAGATGGATTACATACGGCATGATACAGAAACCAAGACACAAAATGGATGACATAAGGCCGGATTATCCAGAACACACACAATCCTCTTTTTTTTTTTTTTATAAGATACAACTAATGATGTATTTCATGTTTAGTGAAGAGATCTGGACGGCTTACAAGACAGAGAAAGAGAGCTCACCGTGACTGAACCTGGGAGGGAAGTACTTTCTGGCGCACTAAATCGGGGATCTTCGGCTCCCGGCAAGCTATAGGAAAGAAATGGTTAAATTGTATCTCTGTAAAGATAAAAATGTAACAATCATGTACAGTATATCCTTTCTGTGCAGCCTGTCCTTGGATCAGTGTCAGGTCAATCCCCAAGCTTTATGGCCACATGGCTCATTCATATGGGCCATTAGGCTGCTGCCTTCAGATGCGGCTAAACGCTTTTATTGTATGGCCGCATACACACTAGGTGATTAGCTGCGGCCAGTTTGTATCCGGCCAGAAAAGCCGCCCCTGGAACAGACAATCTGCACCTAGGGTCAGTCTGACGCCCCTGGCCAGCCATTTATTTATGCAGGGTACACATCTGGCCACATGGTTGATAGTCGTGGCTGTTTGTACACAACGTGTTTCTGGGGCCAAAGTTCCTCTGCCGCACATTCTTGCCCGTGGAGAAGCTAATCGCCCATAAAAATGATCACTTACTTTACAGACAGAGACTTCCATTTTCGGTGTCTAAAATGTTTTCATCACAAACACTCCTTCTGAAAAGTGTTAAAGCACCTCCACATACACCCCCGTTAGAGGAAATATGAGACTGTCATATCTTTGGCTGTCAGCGAGCAAAGACAATGGTGCTTAAAGGGGATGGTTTAAGGACAATGTCAGTGAAAAAATTTTAAGAAATAAGATGTGTTTTTCAAAGAGTTACTACAGCATTTATTTTTTTTTCACCGACGATGTGGCTGCTTTCTAAAGAATACGAACTGCAAGCCTTTGCAACTTTTACTTTGATGCACCTGGAATGTATTTAGTTGATTTAAAATGAAAATTCAATATAAATAATACAATTCTTGCATAAGTCAAATTATGCCGGGTTCCCTTTAAAGAAGTTGTAAAGTCCCAGCATCTCCTCTCCTGCTATAACATCAGCATTGTAATAGGAATGCATAGAAGAGTTGTTTTTGATAATACAATCAAAAAATCCCTTTTATGTAGTGAGTGCTGCCTTCCGTCTGCCCATCACTTCCAACAATTTCCTGGATTTCCAGCGTGCTTTGCATCTCTTTCCCTGCTGCTTGATGTGATGCAATCTCCATTTCTCAATACTACATATTCCATGATACATTGCTTCCAGCAAACAATGATAATGTTACATTGCTCAGAAGTTGAGTTGTAGTTCAGAAGGCAGACTCTGGGAGAGCGGTGACACAGGAAGTAAATATTGACAGAGCTGAATGAGTTTGTGTCAGTGCATTGAGGAAGTCCATCCTATAGGTATCTTCAATAAGTAAGTTTACAATCTTCTAGGTGGATCTGGTTATTAGGAGTGGGGATAGAACTTATGGAAATTCAATATAGAAAAACAGATTAATTTTTTATTTTTTAATTATAGATAACTTTTAATATACAGTGCAATTATATTAATGGTATTCAGATCACTGCAATGAATTTATAAATATGGAAATATTTAGTCTTTTTATAACATGATAATTTTTTTGTAGCTCATAGCAATCGACAATGCCTGCCCAACAATGCATTTAATGCCACCCTAATCCCGACAGGGCACACAGAAAGCCTTCAACATATTTTTCTGATTATATTCAGCATTTACCCTGAAAGGAAGATGGAATTACACTGAAAATATCCACTTCCAATTTGTCTGTGTATGTTTAATCCGGATAAAGGAGCCAGGGGACGCAGAGTCTGAGTGGGATAGGCAGCAGTGGTCCTTAACCAGCTCTGTGCCAACACAGAGGGGGGCACGTCTGAAAATCAAGCTATGAATATATGAACACACTCCGTACTTCTCGTAACAGAAGGGGGGGCATCTGTCTGTTGGGTATATACTGCAGCCAGTGCTCCTCATAGGTGTCCATAGCTCTGGTGACCTCTAGCAGGTGACAGGTCCTCTTAGCTCCTTGATGTTCTTCCAGGGCTCGAGATCTCTCTGTATTCTGACTTCTGTACTCGGGTGACAGGGCTTCACCTCCCCTGTCCCTGCTCACTGGAGGGATCATCCTTCCTGATCTCCCCTGATGGCCTGAGCACACACTTTCTGAGAAGAGTTCCTGTCTCTTCAGAAGACCAACACAGCCCATTTATCTGTAGAATATATTGTTAGCTGGCTTCGGGTTCCTAGTGTTGGTCAGGCTCTCGTGTCCCACATACAGTATGTTCCTTCTCTCTCATTGGTTTACCATGTAAGGAAAAGATGGCAGCCGCGCATGTGCAAAAACCGCATTCCGAATGACCAGATGCCTGCCCTGTTTTGACCTCGGCTACGTTGACTACTCTTCTTCTGGACATCTCCAACACGGTGCCCGGTCTCCCTACTGGCACTCCTGCTTCTCGCTGTCCTCCCACACTCTGTCTCCACCTCCAGAGAGTGCAGGACATGAGACGCAACAGAGGCCTCCTCTTCCACCGGTCTCCTGCCAGGTATGTGACAGGTTCCCTCACTCACTCAAAGGTTCCTCTATGGCAACGGGAACATCTTGAGGAACACACAATGGAACTGATGGAAAACTCAGATGTCACTTCATCTCATAATCCACAGCCCATCATTTATCAGGCTGCAGAGTCTTTTCTAGATATTATCTAATAAATGTTCACTCATTACTTCGCATGCAGTGTCACAATGTGCTTAGAGTAGCCCAGAAGGGCCTTTGGCCAGGAGAGGGGTCTACATGCTGCTCTGGCTAGGACAAAGGAAAACTACTCAACAGAAGCTCTCTTGTAATTCACATACTAGTCATACCTGGCGGTGAACCTCCTTTATCTGCTTCTCCCTGCCTGCAAACTCCAGATTGGTTAGAAGATGACCACCGCATGCAGCACGCTCCTCCGAGGCAGGTCCACCAATTGGTATCATCAAGCAAAATTCTGCCTTTGCAGCCAGGGCCAGATTTACTCTCTCTGCTGCCCCAATGCCAGGTTCCTCAATGTGCCCCCCTACCCTCCCCCCACCATATGGAGAATGTCAGAGCTGCAGGCTGCATACAGGCTGCGACATCGCCGTGATCACTTGTACAAAACAAGCAGCTGTTTCCCCTCTGTACATTTAGCTCTGCTTGCCCAAAGAGGGACTAAATGTAGAAAACAACTACCTGCCCGGCACCCGGAAATGCATGTCCCGGGCATGGGGAGATAGGAATTCCACACTCCTGCTGCCCCTCTACTCTCTGCTGCCCCAAGGCTGGGCCTTGGTTGGCCTTGTGGGAAATCCGGCCCTGTTTGCAGCGCTAACTAGTATTAAATTAGTCCATAAATTCCGCACATTTTTCTCTTACCTTTGATACAAACAGGCTGTTTGCCAGACCACTGCCCCGTTTCCAGGCATTTTCTCTCCTGGTTTCCACTGAGGACATGGGAGTTGTTACAGAAGTAATGGACGGTGGAGCCTATGGCCACTTTGTTCCCAATTCTATGAAACTCCTGTTCTGATAATTTTCTATAACCGTTCAATGGCGGTCCTGGATCTGCACAGCTCTTCTCTTCTAATACTAAACACAGAAGAAAGGAACAGTAAAACTACAAAATATATCCTTTAAAACATATGTGTTCGCTCACCTCCCGATCTACTGAGCCGACCTGTGACAGTTTCATTGTCACAGGTCAGCTAGAACTATGAGGTTTAAATAAAATATTGACCCAGATCTTCATTAAACTAGTTCTAATTTTATGTGTATTATACATACAGGAAAAGTACATTACATGTGTGCTACATTAGCCCTGTTCTGACCTATTTCTGCAGTGCGTTTGATTGCACATCATAGAACCGTACTGAAATTAACTGTAAATGCATTTAAACCCATGTAACTCTGCTTGTGGGATGACATAAAAAATGCATTGTGGGAATTTTAATTGCATGCTGAGAGCCAAACTCTTCCCGTATGCCATATGCATGAGAATAAGTCACATGCGAAACACACAGAATGACACTAGGCACACTTGGTGGATGCAAATAGTCATGCATAGTAAATGACTGATAGCATCTAAGCAGGTTGAAGTATTCTAAAATACTCAAATAAATGTGTTTACATCACCCGAAATGTTAACTGTATTGGAAAATATTTCACATTCTAGGCAGATGTAAAAGTACACATTACTGCAACACTGCATTCATAAAATATATATATCTAGATATATATCTAGATATATATCTAGATATATATATATATCTAGATATATATAGATATATATACATCTATCTTTGTTTAACAAACAAACATTTATCACATGAAAAAGGATTCCCTGAGCCCCATGGTTTGTCTGCTGAAGAAGAGTCAGCAAAGAAGAAGCTTCATGCTTTTGAACTCTTCCTTTCTTTTACACATATTCCTCTGTCCCCTTTCCACCTCTTGTAGGAAGCCTGATGTTTACAGAGCTCAATTGGTCAAGCTGAAATGAAAGGATATCTAAACCCGAGAACAAAAATCTAATATATTGCAGCTTACCAGTCCTCAGATGTGGTGAATGCATTAGGATTTCTTTCATGCTATTTTTGTCTTTTATTTTCACCTGGTAATCTTGTGAAGAACACATGTCCTGTCCTTGGGTGGCCATGCGTGGCCTTGGGTGGCTATGCTTATTTCACTGAATGAACGGAGTCATGATTGTCCAGGGAGGCCTTTAAACATGTCTTCTTCTCTTTACCTCCATTACTTGGGCGGTGAGGAGGTTAGTAGTTTACAGAAAGAAGATAAAATGTTGTGTGCTTTCCGTTCAGCCCACAGGAAGTGACAAGGATACTGCTTGATGGACCTGTGTCTTTATTCAGCCTCAAATACTATCAGGGTTATTCCCTAAAGGGTGAAGAGTTTGGAGAAGGAAGGAGAAGAGAACAATCTAGGCCAACATAACTGATTTGGAAAAATTATCCAATTCAGCTCACTTTCCGGTTCAGCTATGTTGTCCTAGATTGTTCCCTTCCCCTGCCTTCTCCAAACTCTTCACCCTTTTGTGAATAGACCTGTATATGTAACTATGCACTGCATTTTCTGTACATGCAAAAACTGTTCTCAGCCTAAAGAAAAAACAAATGCAGCCACCACATCTAAGGACTGGTAAGCTGCAATATATTACATTTTAGCTCTTGGGTTTAGATATCCTTTAATTTCAGTTTGAGCTCTTGAGCTCTGTAAACATCACGCTTTTTACAACAGGTGGTAAGGAAACAGGAGGAAAAGGTGTATAAAAGGGACCACGAGTGCTGTATACTGGAAAAAATAGGAATTCAAGATATTAATATGCAAAATTTCACCTGAGCAAAAAAAATTAAAATGTTTTTATATATTTTAAATTTTTTCGTTCCAACCATAATAAATAATTCAATAAATAAATTGTAGGGGATGGGAAGGCTGGGTGGTGGAAGGCAGGTACATTTCGCCACTATTTGGGCTGTGGTCCCCTTAAGGGACCCAGAGGGTTAACCTTCCTGACACAGGAAGCAGCTAAAAGGGTCAGCAACGCCAGATTCACCCGGACAGTTCGGGTTTTGAATGCTTTGTCCGGGTTTCATGGCAGCAGAAACCCGGACACAAGATGTTAGGCAGACAGGGGCAACCAAAATTAAGATAGGGGCTACTAGAGTGTTCGGGTTTCGCTTGAAGAAAAGGTGGCAACCAGAGAGGAGTGTGGGAGTTGAGGAGGAAGTCATCAGTTGTAGCTGTGTGTGAATGTGAGAGAGCTGCTGGGTTGCTGTATTACTGCACCGCTGTGCTACTGTGCTAGGCTGCAGGACTAACATTCCTGGGAAGGGATCCCCCAGGTCTGGGACTTTATACAACCAGTCGGTGAGACATCTTTTGTTTTGTTATTTGTGCTGAAGATAAGCCAATATTTGTGTTGACCTTTTTCTGCTGCACTGCAAGAGCAAATAAAAAGACTTGTGTTTTGGAAAACCCGCTGTGCGAGTGCTCTGTGAGCTCCCCAACATCACAAAATAAAATGTTTACAAAACCACTATATGTTACCTTTATAAGGCACGATAAAGCAGGTGGATGTATCAAACAGAAACCACGGCCATGTTTAAAATAAAAAAACGTATTTATTTTTCATATAACAGGTTGTCTTTGCTTCCCGTGTGACTGTCAGACTGTGATCTCAGTCTGCGTCTGCATACAAGCAGCAAAATTCTAGATATTATCATTCTGCAATGACTCCGCGCTCATTCCTGTAGACGATAACCTTCGCAGAGCTCCGAATACTGCAATATAATGTACAGCGAGAAGAGATTTGAAGTCAATTCCCCGAGTGACACCCCGTGTCACCGGAAACCGATCTGCAACATCAGAAAACTCTCTGAATTGTGAAAAACGCTCACATCAAAAATTCAATTATAATGAGCCAGGAAAGGAGTGACAGAACCCATCTGGATGGTGGAATTAATGAATAGAATGGCCATGAAATGTTCATGTATTCTGATCATTAAGCATGTGACACGCTTTTCTCCCTGTCCTGGTAAATTGCGCAGGAAGTCAATCACCAGCCGCCTGTCACTCTGCGGTGGTTAAATTAGACCCAGTGATTGAGCTGTAAAGAGAATCTCAGCAGGAGTCCTCTGAGGCTTTGTATCGAGTGGGATTGAGTTTAGACAAATCTTTCAGAATATACAAAATACAGTATATTGTAATCTTCTATGTAGTTCCAGTAAAGTATTACGATAATCGGACCATTTTTGACGTAGCTGAGACTGACAACTTGCACATTCGGTAGTCGGAAGGGCTTGTTATAGCACGCAGAGGTTTTCCAACTTGTTGGAATCAAAATCCTTTCACTTTCTTTTGAGGACAGCGTTGGAGGTTTGTAGGTAAGTCTTGGGTTGGCCCCATTGGCCTGGAATCATGGAGGTTCTCAGAGCTTCAATAGCAAGCCCAAAGAGAGTCTATCTCCCTGGCGCCCAACCCGGAGAATGAGGTCCACATGGTACTTGACTACACATGACCCGAGCAGCCTGTGGTTGGAGCAGGATCACTGATTTGCAAAATGGTAATACCAGTGATCTCTACTAGTGATGAGGCTGGGCTTGGTGTAAACTCAGTTCACCTGAGTTCGTCCAAGCCCACTCAAAACTCTGACCTCCATCCGTTCTCCTGACCCAATTAGTTGTAGGGAAGCGCATTCTCTGCCCTGCAGCTATATGTCACAAAGAGGCAGAGAATGCCCCCACCGTAACAGATTGGGGGTGACGGTCAGAGTAATGTGCAGACTTGTGCGAACTTAGGCAAACTGAGTTCGCACCAAGCCCAGCCTCATCTCCAAATTCTACTAACCTCATGTAACATGTCCACAGTTTCTCAGTCTTCTACAATATTTCTCCAGCCTCCAATGAAATTGGTAGCCTATGTACAGACATTAGTACACATGTGTCCTGAAAGTCTAGTCAGATCCCTTGGAAAAGTCTCATTATTGGGTTTTGGTGCTGTTATGGAGGCGTTCCAAGTCCAGGACGGACAAAGTAGTTCAATCAATCCTAATCCAATCAACCCTCCCACCTGCTGTGCCGTTCCTTGTCACCCAAACGTCCAGCCCTGAAAGAGCAATTTAATCAAGTTTTATTAAATTAGCATTTTCCACCTGTCTTTGTATTCTCCTGCCATGTAGGCACCCAAGACAAAAGAACCTAATCAGATAGCAAGGGGTTTAAAATGCCCTCTGGGACTAAAGAAGAGCAGGCTTCGTTTGAACAACATCCATTCCCTACAGCAGATCTGCGTTTGGCCAAATCTATTATAAAGGATTAATACCTCATTGGAGCTACAGTCTTGTTGGATCATTTGCCTGTCTGTTCCTTTGTCATCACATAAACTTACTGCATGCTCATGCTCTGCTTTGTATTATCCAAATGGTGTCTGAGAGAGTGCACCTCCTTGTCCATTAAATGCGGAGACATGCAGAATGATCCTTCCATTTCCACTCGGCGCCCTTTAGATTTACCACTTGCAGCCAGCGGGTGGCGAGACAACAGAGCCAGCTAATGATCAGAATTTTCTGAAAGCACCCTGAATTAAATATGTCTTTGTAATTAAGGATTTTATATAAATTATGAAAATAATTGCAAACACTTTGGTTTACTGCATAGGTTTACAAACAGAAATTCAACTAATATAAAACTATTATTAAAAGCCATGCTAGTTTCCCTTTAAAAGCAAGAAAATCCTAAAGGGCAAGGGAGATAGAGGCAGACAACCTGCAGTTTATCCGTCCAAAAGATCACATCCCTCTTTTCCTTTTAGGTGTGCTGGTTTGTTGGTCATCCACGCAGGAGATTGGTGGCTGAAAGCAGTCACATCCAGAGGAATGGCGGGGATGTTTTCTTTATACAAATGAATATGCAGACTAATCATCTGAACATATCAGCAAATGTTTTTATAGGCTTACAGGCCGAAAATCTGAACTGGCAAAACTGTAAAGGATTCCAGTAGAAGTCATGGCATGTCGCCAGCTCAGAATCTGTGGCTTCCACATGAAGCAGGACCCAAGCTACGAGGGACAGCACCCAGAAGTCAATGCTCAGCACAGCCCTCCCGCCTCCCTATAACATGTCCCGGATCAATGCAGTGCTGTCAGCCCCTCCACTCAGCCATCACTCCCACAATGCCTCGCTCTCAGTCTCTTCACTGACACGGCCGCACTGCCCCGCTCTCCTCCTCTCCGGCCCCGGATGGGAAGAGGGACTGCCTGGGTGTAACGAGTCCCGAGGGGTCAGACCGCTCGGGTCTCTTCAGGTGCAGGGACGGCCGCTTTGCGTTCCACGGTGGAACGCGGAAGCCGCTCGACTTCCTGCTTGTGGAGCCAGTGGCCTGCGTTCCACGGTGGAAACGCAGAAGCCGTTCGTTCCGGCGGCTGGCTCCTCCCACATCCCTGGGCTATTTAAAGTCCCAGCTGAGGCAGCATGGTGTTCCACTATTGGAGTCAGAGCACCTCCTGACACCTGAACCCAGCCAAAACCTCTGAGACCTGCAGCCCTGCCTGGGGAGGACCCCTATTGTTTAGCCAGTGGACCTGCACCTTACACCTCTATCTGAAGCACCAAAACGCAAGTACCCCACAGGGGAAACCTTAAACCAGCTCTTAGCTCGTTACATCTTGTGTGGGATACGGACTGTCTTTATTACCACCTCCTGGCATACATGAGTCTAAGTGGCAATTCACTACCTGTAACTCTGCCTACCTCCTATTTTTGGTTGGTTATTAGTAACCTAGGCTATGACGCAATAGCTCTGCTTTTACCTTTTGTGTTACATACGGCTGTGATGCTAGAGTCCCAAACTCCCCGCCTAAGATTGAGAGTGACGCCTGGGACTCGAGCCTGAGAAGCCGTCTCCACTCACCACCCTACCACTACACTCCGCAGTTGTTCTGCAGCTCCCGCCCGCACGATGGAAGCGGAGTATCATCCGCCGGGACCGGCAACAGCACGCCGCCTTCCGGGACCTCGTCCGGTCCTTCCCCAGCCATGTAAGACATCCCCCGAAAATAACACCTAGTGTCTTATTTCGTGCAAAAAAAAAAATAAGTCACTGTCTTATTTTCGGGGAAACACGGTATACGTTGCTACTCCAGCAAGCGTGACACTGGGAGACTAGACTGCACCCAGTTCATAACAGGCCTTGGACCAGTACCAGTCCATGGTCCAGGGATTGGGGACCCCTGTGTTAAAGGATCTAGTGTGGCAAAGATCATTATATTCTTAAGATGCTCAGCCCACGGTTTGTTAATTGTCCTGGATTCTCCAACAATGAGGTCTTTCTGCCATAATTCCTGGCTAGGTTCCTGTCCACCTGGAAGTTTGCTTGTTTCTGCCCACCTTTGTGTGTTCCAGCTCCTCTTGTTACATTCTCTATAATAAGAATAAATATAAAACCCAGAAGGAAGAGTGGGAGCCCCTCATAATGGGTTCAGCAGGTGTGAAGTAGCAGGAACTCAGCTCAAAGATCTCATCAACAGAGTTAGACAGTTTAACTCTCCCGTATCTACCAAACACTGAAAATAGTTTTTGGTGGATCCGTCTGGAGACGGCAACCCGCAGATGCTGCAGTGCCGTCCGTCCGTTTTTTTACTACGGGCGGACGGCAAGAGGTTAAGCTAGTAACTTCCACTGCAGATATAAATTCATAGCCCCAGCGCAGCTATATACTTGCATCCGCTCTGCAGTTGGGGAGTCTCGGGTCTGCTATAGTGAATGACATTTTGTTGCTGAGTACACTTCAGAGTATATCTGTAACACTATCAATCTTACATCCATGGATCCCTGCTATTCCCAGATGTTATTCAGCATCGTGCCAGAGAGACAAATTACACTAAACCTTCATCCTACCCTCCCAATACTATCAGATTGTCAGTATATTTAATGTGACATGGCCATCCATCACCAGCATTGTGTAAACAAGTCACAGGATACCGCTGTCCTACAGAATACATAATGGGATTCAGAGCTGCAGGGGGAAGAAGGACCTCCCTGACTCTCATGGGAGTTAGCAGTATCAGAGCTTTCACACTAGCCAACAAGGTATTACTGCACTCACAATGCTTACACATGACAATCAGCAGTAATGCAAAACCTTGGAGAGCCCCAGAAAAGTTTATTAACTCCTGAAGTCTCAACACATGGCACAAGGGGCTTTAAAGGAAGAGGCGGTGAGAGATGCCAAACCCTCTAAGTGGATGGTGGTGGTCTGAATATAACGGTGGCAGCTCTGCACTTGTGAAAGATCAAGAGAGGAAGTGCACTGAGCATTTGCCATGGCAATGGGACATGAATGGCTGCTGGTAGTCTAAACATACAGAGTGTGGCCTGCTGTGTCAACCCTGCGACTGTGGAAGGAGTCAGAGAGGCGGTACACGAGTATTTGCCATGGCATGTGGACCTGAGTAGCTTTTGGCATTCTTAAGGTAAAAGGCATTGGTTTGTGTTGCAACCACTGTGCTTGTGGTAGGACCAAGAGAGGCAATGCAATCACTGCCCTGATTGAATCTAAGGACAGTAACCTGGGAATATGTCTGCAGAATAGCCCTTCATCCCTTGCAGGGTTCACTGGTGAATACCAGACATTGTGCTTCAAGCTTCTTAGGAGCTACATTCACCTGGTGACGTGGAGGGTTCAAGACAGCAGTGACAAATACAAATATTTGGACTCTGAACCATTGGGGACGGCTGTCCTTTTCTTATAATTTTCTGGGATTGACCTGGTGTGAAGGGTAATGGATGACAACCTTTTAATTAAACACAGGAATGTGTCATTTACCGTCAGCAACATGATGTACCGAATGATCTTCCATCTTCATTCAATGATCCCAGGGGGTGTATGAAAACTATGGTGCACTAGGATTGGCTGAAACCATATAGCGGACTCTATGCTATTAAAAAAAAAAAGTAGAAGGAACTCACCATTTTCACAGTGTCTTCCCGTATACCCAGCTAAACAAGCACATTTGTAGTATCCGGTTTTCTCTACAATGCACGTTCCATCATGGAAACATGGCGAAGGGGAACAGACTGAAAGATATAAAGAAGAGAAGGAAGAAGAAGGACATTGTAATGTCATGCCTTTTTCTACAGATTAAAGTGACCCTGTCGCTGTTTCAATCGTTTAAAAAAAAATCTGCAATAGAAAATGTTTTTTACCCACCTTCCCTGCTGCCCGCTCCTCAGATCTTCCTTCTGTTTAACAGCAGAAGCCTCACATACAACAGGAGGGTCTCCCGCTGTGTGATGTGGTTCCATCCGCCAGCCCCTGTGTCATTACTGTGTCCTGTAGGGACCAGCAGATGGAACCACAGCGTGTGGCAGGGACCAGGCATTTAATATACCCAGAATTGTATCTGATAAGTCAGTAGATGTAACTTTTGAACAGTGAGATCTAAGGAATGGGCAGCTAGACAAGTGAGTGTAGAACATTTTCTTGAACATGGTTTTATAACATGTGTTCTTTTAAATTTCACAAAATGCTGGTTCTTGAAATAATTTCAGGTACATATAAAAGGTAAGAAAAAGTGCCTTTCACCTAACTATGTCACTAGTCAGGTGATTGCAGTAAATCTTTAAACGTCTGCTGTTATCACATTTCAGCTATCTATAGTGCTTCAGGAATCCTTGCTGGTGTATTAAATGCTTATTTGTAAGGCAAAGCTTGTGTATATATAGAAACAAATTCATCAATTTTATATGAAACAATTAAACTTAACTCAAAACCTTTATGGTATCCCTCCAAAATTGTTTTTCACTTCCAGCTCAAAAAAACTTATGTGAGCCAGCAAAACAATCAAGTCATCTTCTTGTCTTCTCTAAGCCTCCGCCTATTGATCTGTTTTCCTGAATGCTGTAATATTATACAGTTTGTAGTATTGTAAAGTAGGATCAAGATGAATCAGGCTCTTACAAAGATGGCAGTAACACAGCCAGAATTCAGCCATCTTTCTGATACTTCAGCGGTTTAAGAAAACCACCTCGTTGGTTTATATATAATGGCAACATCGCACCATCTTTCCCACTTATTCAAAGAAATTTACACATTTCGGAAAGTGTTTAAAAAAACTCCCCAGGGTATTTCAGGCATGAAAGGTGTTATATAGATACATACAGTGCTCAATTCTGGGGCTGTGTCTATGGTTACGTCATAATTTGGCACTCAACAGTCATTCCAAACACCGAGAACAAATACCGAACTCAGAGAAGCTGAATGGTGCTGAATGTGTCTCTATTAGGGATGAACGAAATTGGGTGCTTTTATTTTGCCAACAAATTGGGACATTTTGATGTAATTTCACCATTTTCACAACAAACCCCTGTGCTCTACCTCTAACTCAGAGTACCTCCCACTCTGGGGTTAGGAAGTTATAATATTTAATTTTTATTGATTTATTTATTTCCATTGTTGACCTGTACTTGTACACCTTACTTTGTTGGAATGAACATTGTATCCTAAAACAAACATAAAAAAATGTTTACAACAGAAATTCCAATATTTTGGTAAAATTGGTGAATTATACAGTCAATGGGAAGAGTGATATTTACGTGTTTTGTTTTTTTGCAGGATTACAATAGGTCCATAGGTGTTTTATTTGGTTCCAAGGGTACTAAATGGTCCTTAGAGTTACAAAATCTTCTTTAAAGGAAGCTTTCCCACAAAGTTTTCTTACCCTTTAACCCCCACCTCCCCCTTAACTCTTAATATATTGAATTCAGAGGATAAGCATAACAGCCAGGTGCTATCATTTTTTCAGAATAAAGGCTAGAAATAGGATATTTCTCCTATAATAGGTGTAAACATGGCTTGGGACTACAATTTTAATGTGGTGCCTTCACTTTAGCTTTCTGTCTACTCTTATTTAAGCAGATAAAGCAACTCTTCCACTGTGATCCGATATTCCAGCTGGTGTGTAGGAATTGAGGGAAATGTTATGTTAAGAAGGATTACTGTACCTACATATGACATTGAATATGTACAAATGTGACTTTTTGGTTGCTGTATACAGTATAAGGACTAAATGGAGATACTAAGATTTTATAGAGTTACCTGTAACTTCTTGAAATGTAGCATAGAAGCCATCAAAGCTCTTGGACCCATCAGATCTGAAGAGAAGATGCAGTGCATTTCCAGAGCTGCGGATGGGTAGCGGTCGTTCGTTGCCGCAGAAACGCTTGATGATCTTGGCATCCACATTGTCGCCGTCGCGGATTTCTAAGTAATCGTACTGGCACATGTAATCAAACTCCAAACTTAGCATTGCAAACCTGGGGCAGATAGACAATCATAGAAATATAAAATGTGATGTCACTCCTATAATGTTTGTTTTATATCTGGAAAGCAGTGATGCCGCTTCTGTAGTATACTGTATAACGTTACCTGTAAGAGAGTAATTGCACCCTTGTTAAAAATTGTATAATTCAGAGCAAATTTTCTAAACCAGGGTTCTCTAGAATGGTAGGGTTCCTCATTACATTGTTAGGGGTTCCATAAGCAGTAAGCAATGGTGAATGGTCTCCCACCAATCAATGAATCTTCCACTTTCAATGACCACCAATGTAAAGAGTCACTTGTACACTGACCACTAATGTTAGGGGCCACCACAATTTTCATTGCCTCTGTTTCTTTTCTATTACTGTTATTATTCATAATATTTTTTCAAGATTATTACTGAATATTCTGTCATTTACAGCAAGAAGGTGTTAAGAATAATGATGTATCTTGGGTTTCAAATTCTCTAGATGCACCACATTCCTTATTATCCAATTAAAACTTTCTACAACTTACGGATCACTCTAGTTGATCATGAGCTATAGGAATAATCATTGTTGGCATTTTTCCAGAGAACTGTAGATTAATTCTAGGATTCTAGGGTAAAAGGGTTGAGAAAAGCTGATTTAGGGAGCAATGATATATATAAATTATATAT